GTTTTATAATCACTGTAGTCCATTTAATTTTATTTGGAAGGTAGTTATTATCTATCAAAGATGTATGATAATTAATGTGTGGTATTTTGGTTCGTCTCGTATCTAAGCGTCATCTATAGTTTTACTTGCATAACTAGTAACCTTGTGGTGAATATGTTAATATCAGTTACGAGTTTTGGTTTGGGTATCTGTTGTAGTCATTCAGCTTAAATGTTAGTTTTGTGTAATTTTTAAGTTAAAAAAGCATCTTAAATTATTTTTCAAACGTTATAATTTGGATATTTGTATACTGTTAGAATAGGTTTTGTAAATCACACATTTATTGATTATGTAACTGTTTTGAGGTAGTGAATTTTTTTAATCGAAATAGGCATTTTAATTTTTATATACCAGTTTTCTACACATAATAATATTTGGTATGGAAGCGTATCATTCTAATAGTAATACAATAGTATGTCGATCAAAAACTAATTATAAACTGTATGAAAATATTTTATGTAGAGAACATACATGTTTCAACAGAAAATTTGGCTGTCTTATTATTATTATTTTTATACTGAAGAAGACAGCCCAGTGTTCTTTAGAAACCTGTTGAAACTAGTATATTCTTTACATAAAATATCTTCATGATGCTCATGACAAGTTATAAATCGTAGATGGCTGCAGTACCATTTATTACTCAGTACTAGTCCTAAATGGTCTGTCACACACTGTATCTGTACTGCAACTAGTGTACTATTTTTTTTTTTCTTTCACATTTCGATGTTTTTATCTTTAAGTTTATCTTTGTCAGCAAAAATATATAAATTAACATAATCTGTCGATTAGCATTTTTCTTTTAATTTTTTGTAATACTGTAATATTAATAGCATTTACTTAAGTGTTCAAAATGGAATTTTAATTTTTGTAAGAGTAATACTAATATAGTATGGTGTAAAACTATTATAGCCAAAAAATGTAACACATTTCTTAAATTTTTAAGAGAGCTTATACAAAACAGTAATACTTTTTTAATATAATTTTCAGTCTAATTATTGGCATCAAGGTATGTCACAGCAGTGTTAACAATCTATTTGTGTATTGCCACAGTGTGAAATATGACCATTTTTGTTAAAATTACAATAATTAGACTTGAAAAAACAACATCAGAAGAACTATGGAAGAGAAAATTAAGGCTGCCCTGAATACAAGCAAATTAGAAAGAACAGGCAGTGGTGGTGGTGGTTGCATCAATGAAGGGGAATGTTATATGACAGATAATGGCTGCATTTTTGTGAAAAGAAATTCTGAACTAGAGGTAAAGTAAATTGTAACAGAGTTTTAGTGATCTAAATTCTCTAAATAGAAAAAAAAACAGTTCTTTATTTATTTAAACAAATTTTAGGCATAGGTATGTAAAAGATACAAATATACTGATAATATATAAGTCATGTAATTAAATGGAATTCACCTTAAAAGGACAGCTCATAGTGACAATAGAATACAGCTGAAAGAGTATTGTTTAAAAAGTGATGCTTATTAGGGATAGATATAGAATGGAGGGTTGTGGGTTTGAATCCCCATCCCACCAAACATGCTCACCTTTTCAGATATGAGGGTATTATAATGTGATGATCAATCCCACTATTCATTGGTAATAGAGTAGCCCAAGAGCTGGTGGTGGGTGGTGATGACTAGCTGCCTTCCCTCTAGTCTTTCACTGCTAAATTAGGGACGGCTAGTGCAGAAAAAAAGAAAAATGATGCTTTTAGAAAATTTACTGAAGCAGTTATGATTAAGCCGAAGCTATCAACTATAAACATTAGCCCTGGTTGAAAGCTAATCTATTAATAAATTATTTTTCTTTCAATAACAATATATACATATACGTATGTGTGTAATTATATACTTGTCACTGCAATAACTTTAAATTTAAGTCAAAATAATGTTATTTTTGTTTATTAATACACATTTTAATACACATCCTATATCTTGTTTGTTTGTTTTTTTGAATTTCTAACAAAGCTACACGAGGTCTGAGAGACAGATAAGCCAAGTGAAGAAAGACACAAAGTGTTATAAGGTAGGTCAGCCAGGTGGGAAATGATGAAGGAGAGACCAACTGCAATAATCTTGCTATTTCAATTGGTACATAGAAGAGGTAGTAGATCAACAGGAGTGGGAGAGAAGGAAGGCTACACATTTGGAAAGACTAACTCGACTGGTAATGGACTAGACAAATCCCACACATGAAGATGAAGGGATGACACATCATGATGGCAGAATGATGTGTGTGATTGTACCAAAAGGGACAGAATAGTGGGAAGTGGAAATCAATGTTTAGCAATGTTTAGGTAGATATGCTCGATGTCAAGAAGAAAATAGCTATTTGTGTATGGAGTTGAGTATTTATTTCAGAATCACTAGTTGTGTACAGTTTTGACTAATTGAAAAGAGTTTAGAGGAGAGGAAAAGCATGCTTCTGGGATGGGTTACCTTATAGGTTAACAGGATGTTCTTGGGGATGGATTATTTTGGGGAAATAGGCTAATAGGATGCTTCTGGGGATGAATTATCTTAAGAGGATAGGTTAATAGGATACTTCTGGGGATAGTTTATTTTAGGAGGATAGGTTAATAAGGTGCCTCTGGAGATGGATTATCTTATAGGAATGGATTAAAATCTCTTAATTTATTTTCTCTTGAGAAATTTACAAAATTATTTTTGAGATCAATAAGATAAAGGCCTCCATTATCTCTGAAGACCAAAGGAAGAGATTAGGAAAAAGACAGATTACGCTCCAGTTATGACAGTTTTATTTTTCTAATAGGGTCATTGGTTGGCATAGGGAATAATGTAGGCCAGCATTTTACAAGAGATTAACAGGAGATTTGATAATTTTCTTAAAAATAAAAGGCTGGGTTGCAATTTTTACTATTCTGAAGGGTGGATGTGTAAGGACAACCATAAAGGAGCAGGTGGATCCTTTCCATCTAAAAATTATGTTACATTACCACATATGGTTCTGGAACACGAACAGATTTTGTTGCAAGCAGGGCTTTCAATCCTTCAAGTTCTCCATCAAACATTCTTCGTGCCTAAATAACAGAAATGTTAATAACATATGATGTTGGTTGGTTGGTTGGTGTTTTATGGCGCAAAGCAACATATGATGTTAGGACTGAAATGTATGATTCCTATTTACAGCTTTGTTTCTTATGTATAGCAGAAAATGATCACAAACTTATAAAAACACTATCACTTCTTATATGCAACAAAATTGCTTGACTAAAATAATATGAAAAATTGTTGGAATAATTCAATAAATCAGTACTGATTTATTAAAAAAAAACATTTAGTGACCATGACAATTTTTTATTAACGAATAAAACTACAGTTATTTTGTTATTCAGTTAAGAAGAATTTTCATTTTAATATTTTAACAAAAATTTATTAAAGCAGAACTATAAAAGTTTTACCCTAAACCCATGTACAAGTGTAAGAGCAATTAAACAAAACATTGAAATAATGCATACCATTTTTCAAAATATTTGTACTAATAATTATTATTGAAAGTTTATTCCTTAATATTTCAGCCTTATATTTGAAAAATATTTTCTACACTTGTACTAATTTACAAAGACTTTTAATCTTCGAAATACACAGATGAAGACACTGATTAACACTCCATATGTTTAAGTTGGTAAACATTCCATGATGTTTTTAGGTGGTCAAAAATAAATTCATATTCTGAAAGTATTTCATACAAATATTCACCTCTCCACAGAACTTGCTTTTACCTCAGGCCACTGCATAAAATACTTTTGTGCATGTCCCAAGCCTTGAATGCAGCTTCAACCCTTACAGGTAGCATGAAATACATCAGTCTATGATGAAATCAGCATCAGACTATAGTCCTCCAACAGTATAAAGCAATACATTCTCCATGCCCTATACTCCCCATGAGGACTTTATGTATACCAAAGGCTCATTCTTGACAAGGCAAAAGACACACATCAGAAGTGAGAAGGAAGGATGGGTGGTTCTGTAGAGAGGTGTCTATATGCAAGACATTTTCATGTAAGGAAAGTGTCAACTTTAGAAATACTACTATGCTATTCACCTCTCAACAGAACTGAAAACTAGAATTTGGAATTGATAAGATGGTGTAGAGACCAGTGTGCAGAAATACAAGTAAAAAGATGAGCTTCTTTCTGAGAAAATTGCCACAGGAAAATCCATTCACATCTATACATCTAACTCATACAGGAAATACTCTTTGCCAAAGAGAGGTAGAAAGGGTACTGTAAAAAGAACCTCCTACATGGTGCTAAAGTGTCACAAAGGTGGGCAGAATGTAAGGATTGTTGAATTGGATTGTATATCAGGAATTCAGCAGAGCATGTATGTGTAGTCCGGCTAGGGCAACAAGTCAAGATGTATATGTGAAAAATACCAACCACAATAGGAATATGCAAGAACAAATCATCCCAGGTCTACTTCCTGAGGATAAAGAAAGACTTAACTAGTTAGTATAGCTACTAAGAAGGGTCCAGTTATTAGTGAAGGGAAAGTGAACCGTACTGCACTGCAAGGCAAACACCCCAGCCACACTTCTGATTGAGGGATGCATTCACTAGGTCTCCTTTCAGTGGGGTTACACCAGTCTAAAGGGGAATTCTGTATCTACCTCCCCAGCAGCTTAGCACCGAGGTGAGGAAGCAAGGATTCTCCAACCACTCCCCTAGAAGAAATGGGAGGAAGGGTCTCATAAGGATGAGAACACCAGAGAGGTGGGTAGACCAAACAGGAATCATCTCATCTGAACAACATCCCACAAAAAGGCCATTGAAAAAGTTTCTTCAGAAAAATCAGTACAAATATTCAGTTTGACAGTATTCTAAAGCTCCCTTTCTCATAAGTAGTTTAACCAAAACAGGAGAGTTATCTAAAGATTGGGACTCACCATCTACTTTAATCATACCATTTACTCAACTTTAAAGGACAAATTGTACATTCTAGTTTAGCATCCACATAGTAGATTATGCCCACCTCACGCTTGGGATGTCTAGTTTGTCTTTAATTGGTGTGGATTAAAAAATGTTATTTACAACTGACATACAGCATATACAATACTCACATAAGGGAAATTTGGTGACTAATTACAGAGATTGTATGAACACCACAAGGATATCAAGGCTAAGGACTAATATGCTAACAGGACTCTAATCACAGATTTACCAAATAGTGACATACTGGTGACCCTTTATACATTCATGAAATTAAGTTTACTGTTGCTGGGTGTTGGGCAGCCATATTTACCACGTTCCACTTTTCCCGATACCATAGTATTTTCTCTTCATCTGTTCTTACTACTCTCTTCCATTTATTCATACTGCAAAGACCCTCTTTTCCCAGTCCCTTGCCTGACTGGGACCTAAATGTGGTCTTCCTGCCCTCACTCAAGGCTCATTTTAACCTTTTTGCCATTTGCTCACCTCTCTCTCTCTCAAAACCTGTTTCCTTCTCCTTCTTGCCTGTGGTTATCGTCAGTCTGATGTCTATGTCATAGATTCCTCCCACCACTCATACATTTCTTCTGCTTTGACTGTTCCTTCTTGCCTAAGACTTCAGCTATTCAGGGGGGTGGTTGCATTTTTTTTGTCTCACTTCCCTTCCCACTATCTCCAACTTTTATGGACATTCTGACCCAGACAGACTTCTGTGTCCAGTCTGGGCTCTTTGTAGTTATCTTTCTCATTCTTTTGCCTTTCTGGAATTATAGTTGAGTAGGAGTAAATAAAAAAGTACCCTCACCCATCAAAGGTGGATTGAAGGATAGCAATAGGGCAGAATTCCGCTAGAGATGAGACAGCCAGATGGTGGAGATAGTGGGTGATGAATGTGTATGGGGTAGTCCACATGGCTGCCTGGAGAATCTCTTCTAGCAGTTGATGAAAATGGGCTGCCAGAGAATGAGTCAGGTGTTTTATCTGATGGGAGGGGATATAAAAAAAAGTCAACAACTACCCACCCCAAGGAGGTGTAAACCTTCTGGATGAGTTGGTAGATCCACCTGGTAAGGGTAGAGGGAGAAAAGGCTTTATTAGAGGAGGGGTATCAAGGAATGAAAAGCCAGTGGTGGGAATGATAAATACTCAGTCTGCACACAGAATAGCTTGATCCCTCCTGCATGCTACTAACCTTGAGCTAACTCCCATCTAAAAATAATGTTTAATGTGAACTACACTGGTGCATGATGACATCACCATGCAACAACAGCCCTCTAACAATAAGATGGTGACACAACCTCCTTAAACAGTAATTCCCCCTAAGCATTTGTGCTCAAAATAGCCTCATTCTTAGGCAAGGCAAGAAGAAAGTACACTAGAAATGGGGAGGACAGGTGGGAAGATGTGAATAGTGTGAATCTATTAAAAATACATTTGCAGCTAAGGAAAACGTTACCTTCCAAAATGAATACTCACCTCCATACATAGATAGCTAGAATACTTGAGATGATGGAGTGACTTGTGTAAAAATTACCTAGATAAGCTTCCTTCTGAAAGTATCCAAAGGAAGCCCATGGGGTGTTACACCCAATGACAGGGGTTCCATAGGGGCACACCCATAGGACACCACATCACTTCTCATCCAGGGTATACTCTTTGCCTGTGTAAAGGAAGCAAATAGGCTTAAAGCCCAAAATATGGTGCAAGGACAGGCAAAAGAGGTACATGACCATCTGAGTAAGGTTGAGTCTTGTTCAGACCATACCTTGTGTGCTCACCTGCTCTACCATCAGGTTAATAATATCAAATTTGTATCATATTTATGTGTAGTGAACCACACTACACTCCAATAACGCCCCAGCCCTACTTTGAAACACAAAGGAATTCCTTATTCTAGCCCCAGCAGTTAGGTCCTAATTGGTGAGGATTTTCCATGGTCCACCACCTCAGCAGCTGAAAGCTGTTAAGCAGCAGTTGTCTTGAGAAACCAAGTCTACTGTATAAATCTACCCTTATTACTTTGCAGAAAATGTAGCATATGATGTGACTTGTCATACTTAATGATAATATGGGAAGACGTAACCTCGATTTCAGTATACAGGCCAGGAACACCCCAAATTTTGAGCCATCAACTTCAGGGAGGTAAATGCTTGGCATCAACCTATTACATTTTTATATGCTATATAGTGATTTATTAATTTATTTATTTTACTTATGCTTATACTTCCAAATATACTTCCTATGCTCTACTTGATGAGGGGGGAAAATTCATGTAAGGAAGACCCAGGGAATGTGCCTGGATTCCCATCAGTCTCTCTGTCTAGATAGGTATTTTATTGAAGGCAGTGTAATGGGAAACTGCAAAACCCTATTTTTATAAGCTAGGAAGTGCTAGCATGAGAAGAAGTGGACAGATGCACCACTCCGGTGCTCTATTTTTCCATTATAGTCCATGAACGGGGTATAGTCTGGATAAGACTTGAAATATAAGGTAAAAATGCCATGAGGAAAACTTCAGTGGTCTTGTGGTACACCCCATCTCATAGTGGGAACTTATAGAGCCAGGAAAGATGGTAAGAGTACTTTCCGTTATCCCAGCAGCTCAATGCAGATTTTGGGTAAGTATACCCTGGAGAAAAACACTAGCTGATTAGTGGGGTCCTAAAGAAAGAAATACATTTTCAAACAAAAGGCTTCCTAACTAAATTGTATTGTATCTTAAAAAATCTAATTTCTATTCACAAAATAGCCTTGAGAGCAATACTTCAAACTTTCCAATGATATAAAAGCATTTCTCTCATAAATGACTTAGGACAACTGACAGAGTTATATAGAATAAATATATAGATTTAGATTGATTATAAAGTTATTGGTATATAAAAGTAGTTGTAGATAAATAAGTCTTCTCAAATGATGAAGTGGTGGGTGGAGCCAATATGGTGGGTTCATTAATATCATGATATCTCAGCAAATAGAAAAGTTAGGAGGTTCTTATTTTATATTCTAGCTTGTTAATATCAAACATTTTAGTTCCTAATTCATATGAAACTACAGACATTGTATTGTGGGCATCATAAAATGTAATCTAACCAAACTCAGAAGGCTATGTACCACGTCACACACAAAAATTGATATTTAGCAGTTTTTTTTAATATTTAATTTCAAATTAAGAAACTAACTAATATATAATACTAAAATTTGAATCATAATCTACAATTTGATACCAAACTTATTGACATACGTTTATAAAATAATAGCTAAATAAAATGTTGAATGTAAATCTACAAATGTGACAACATGCCCTTTGACCCCTACCCGTCTCGATAAGGTTAATATACATGTATGTAGGCAGAGAAACAATTTTGAATTGTAGGGTTTTGAAATACTGAAAATTTGTTTTCATATTTGATGGTTCTATTGACTGAAAACTTTCATTTTACTTGAAAACAAAAAATTGTGAATACATGCATTAAATGCAAATATATTTAGTTCATAACGTGCAACAATAAACAATAAATTCCAATGATGGAAGAAATAAAGATATTAATCCATTAACCTCTTATTTTAAGTATTTGTAAAAATCTACCACCTACTACGTACTCACTAAAAATAAATGTTATCTTGGATCTTACCACCCAGTCATCATGCCAAGTGTTGTCTTGAGGAATATACCCACAACATGTGGTTGTGTGGAATCCAAACTGACTGACAAATTGATCTTCTAATTCACTACTCTTGTGGATGGAGCTGGCTTGAGCTTCAAGCCTATTTCCTATTTCTGTATTGTGCAAGTGCATTCTAGGAGTAAAACAAAGATATCTGTCAGCAAATTTACCTATTCAACAATATGGTATGTTACTTTCAAAATAAAATAAGCATATTTATTTATAGCTTTGGTCCAACTACTACTACATCAGTTAACTAATAGATGGTTGCAACTATAGTGGTTGCAGATAGAAAATATCACAGAATGGCTAAATTACAGATAAGGTTGATTTCTATTTTTTCATATACTCAGCCTTCTGCATTGTAAACAGTGAGTAAAGGCTTAGTTTCCTATCTTGAAATATTTTTCAAAGGCTATTTCAAAGCATTCTTCTAAAAAGAAAAGTAGTTATTTCACAATATTTATTGTAATATAAATTTCATATAAAAATCAGAAAATAGATAAGAAATGAGGGGATCATGCAATCCTGCAAAGAGATTTTCTAAGACATAGTCTTTATAGGTATAAAATGAGACTTGTGCCTCGAAACTGCTAAGGCTACAAATTTCTAGCGCTCATTCTTATCACTGGATCTATAGAAATTCTTCAATTTGAAACACAGAACAGTTTATTTTTAACTTCCATTGCAGAATTTTAATTTAATAATACTCAACAGTAAAAAATATGTTCTTTAACCTATTCCATTTGAATAATCTCTATTACTATCCTATCTCTGAGCTGTTTTAGTACTTGTATTTAAATGTTCAAACAATATTAGCAAGTTTTTAGAATTTCATCATTTTTCATCTAAAGTAAAATGAAAAATAATATAAGGTCTAATTCATGTGTGTTTACAGAAGAAAACAATGTTGGCCAACAAAAAAAGACAACCCTGGAAAGTTTTCATATATGATTATTGATAAATAAGGCTTGAAGCAATAACTTTGGAACAAAACCAAAAATAATTCTAATATTAGTTACTTTGCTGCTTGAAAGATTAAGTCAAGGTTTTATTGTGCATTTTTTTAATTATATAAGAAGTTTCAGATATTCAGAAACATTTTTTAATAAATTCACACAAGTTTCTCTTCCTCAAATATTTTACACAATATTCTTTGTAACATGGATAAATAACTTCCTCCCCTAAAAAACAAAGACTGATATATTTGTACATAACACACTGTCATATTACTTTTTATAAAATGTAAATATTTTGATAAAAAATTAACAGCAGATACAGTGTTGGGAATGTCATTAAATTTCAATTATACTTCTGAACTTTGATTGCTTAGATTGAACCACATTCAGGCTCATCTTTATCTGTCTTCATTATGTCAAGTATGACACAGGTTATAAAGGGTTTAAACACTTTCATCTTCAATCCTGAGAAAGAGTTGTCAATCAAAACTGTCTTGATCACTTGTTAATGAGAGCTTAGGTCATACCCATTTTTATCTTTGATGTTAAATAACATTTTGATTTCTATATATTTGTTTTATTACAGTTGAGTTTACCAAGAATCTCCATCAATTATCTATTTTGTGTTTCCTATTAACCAGCAACAGTCACATGCTCAGCTATGTCAATAGATGATACCTTGAGCTGGAATTTTTTTTTTTTTCAGTAACTTCAGTCATACACCACATATACTATACTTTTCTTCAATGTAGATTTAGTTGTAGGAGTGAACTTCCTAAAGTAATGGCTTCCAATCTTTTTCCAACTTAGGACCAGCTAGTTCAGATTCCAAATTTTGATGGACTACTTCATAGAATATTACCATTTTAATGTAATTTTAAGTTATATCATAAAACAATATACTTCACTAGCATATATTTTAAAACACACATTATATTTTCAAACATCTTGCAGATTGGCTGAAGTTTTCCTGTGAATTAGCAGTGGGAACCACTAACCTGCAGTACATTCTTTAATTTGTCAAATGCTGAGCTTTCATTTCATTTAAACCAAAATTTGTTTTGTAGTTTTTGGACATACAAGACTGTGTAGTGTAGGGATTATTATCTAATATATTTTTGTGGGTTAATATTTAATGATTGTTGAGTTTTTCATAACAAGAGAGTTAAAAGCAATTATTTTGTTTACTAAACTTGGTAAGAGTCGTACATTGTGTTTGAAATTCATTGGTGTCGAGGCTATAGAATATTCTAGAGGCCTCAGAGATAAACATATAAAATAGTGCTGACCAAATGAGCAGAAGAGGAAAAAAATCAAGTCAAGTGAAAGACAAGTTTAATCAGAAAAAAGTTAGAAAACGTGAAGTTAGCCATCGTGGAAGTGAATAGCCTTAACGGTTGATATTTTAAAGTAAGATTAACAGTTTAATAGAGATAACGAGAATAATTTGTCTTGTCAAAGGGTGTTCTAAGCTAAATGAACCTGCCTTTGTAGACTTTGACGAAAGGAAGACAATTATTGGAAGTTCAGAATACAATTGTGGTATCCCACAAGGCAGTGTAAGTGAATTATTCAATGATACTATTGTGATAAATGTAGAAAAAAAATAGTTTGGCTTGTCAACTGGATTCTAAAGCAATTGAATTAGCCTAAGTGGACTTTTGACAACAAGAAGAGAACTGTATGTTGTTTAAGATACAACTATGATCTCCATAGTGTAAAATATTTTTCTACATACATTTAATTTGTTTTGAATATATTATTTTAAAACAAGTGTAGTGTGTGCTGTCTGTTTATTGTTTGAATTTATCACCAACAAGTCACAGACACCTACTGTAGAAGAATCCTGGGCTCACACCCATATATATACACATAACAGTTCTGACAGTAGTCTTAGTTTTCTAGCAAATTTCAATGTAGACCGGTTCAGTTACGTTAAAATGCAACTTGACAAAACAAATTATTCTTCTCTGCTGTATTATTACAATACAATCAGTGATAATTTCACTTTAAAAAACTGCTACAATATGATCTATATGGCTAAACTCACAATCAAGCAGTCTAGATCTAACTATCTATCTATATCTAACTAACTCAAACTACGTTTTGGACGTCTTTTTATAGACTGACTGAGGATTGAAAGTTCCACACACTACGAGATATTATGATGCAATAATACTCAATTAAAAATCGATAAAAACTTAGAAGGTTCTAGTAACATGACACAATAATATAAGAAGCACCAATTCACAACAATTGTACTATGCAACATATGATTCTCATTGTAACACAGACAAACCTGTGATAAACTATCGCTTATAAAAATAACTAAATTTAATACTCTCACTATATTTAAACTTGAATAGTCACGTATATTTACCAAACACATTTTCTACTCTTCTTTCACATATTTTATTATTCCTGTTTAATCTCATGTACTTCGTTTAGGAAGTGGTACAAAAACAACAGTATTAAAAAAATTTTCATTTATTAACTCATTTTCACACTGGTAAAATTCTAGTTGTTTAGGATTTTTTTATCTTGATGGACCAATTTGATCTAGTTCACAGATGCTATAGAACACCAGTGTCATAATGAGCTTAACAAGCAAGTCCAAAATGTAGCTTCTCCCAACAATCAGGCAACTGAAGTCTGTAAAACTCCAGAATAAACACAAAACACTACAAAAATGATCAATAAAAAATTAAGTATATTAAAAAAAAACAAGAGAATATAGGTAACTATAAATTCAAGAAGACAAAAAGATTATTGACTGTTCTAGAAATGGTGTCAAAAATTAAAAAGTACAGGTAGAGTACATATAAAGATAACAAATGTACTCACAGCTTAATGGATAAGACTGCTAAATAAGATAGTTATTTTTGATAGTTACTTTGCTAGTAGTTCCCCAAGTTTAGATGAATAGCGAGTCAAGGATTTCATATCAATGTATTCCATTACTAAGGCTGCACCACCACGTGGATTGTCAATTACCTAATTAAAACAATATGCATAAAATCATATTGACTATAATGTAAACAAATAGACTGTAATCACAGAATATAATCTAAGAATACAGAAAATGACAAAAGTAAAAAAACAAAAAACATATAGTAATACTCATTTAGCCTACATAATCTATAATTAATGTTTATCTACTTCATCTTAAAACAATGGGTATGAAATATCAAAATTGCAATTAGCACATTTAGATTCTTCACAACTTTGTGAAAGTGTATAATATCATAAAGGATAATTTTTGGTTGCCAAGTGGTTGCCATTTTAGCTTTATTTTTAACAACTAATAAGAATGTGATTGAAAGAGTTGAAGTAAGGGAACACTTGAGGATGAGTGATCATTGTATAACATGGTTTGATGTTTTGTTATAAGTTGAGGTTAAGTAAATAACATTTTAGTTCCTAATTTCCAGATACCAAGATTTGAGGCCATGAAACAAGATTTATCATTAGTGAATTGGAATAATGAGCTAAAAAGTGATGTGAAACAAATTTAGGAAATTAAAAAATAAATAGAGACATTTTCCAAAAAAAAAAAAAGGGTGGAAAAATGAAATATGAAAGATCCAATCTATCTAAAGTCATAAAGAAGAAAATCAGGGAAAACATCATAAGTTTAAAGAGTTTAAAATTACATTCAGGGGGAAGATTTACAGAACAATAGGAAATATAAGAACTTTGTTTGCAAAGAAAATAGGAACTCTAGAAGGGCTTATAAGAAACAGCTGGCCTATAATGTTAAAATTAACAAGTAGGATTGTTTGAGTATGTTAAAGGCAATTATATGATAAATGGGGATAGGGCCTTTAAAATATGCTGATATTGAAGACTTTGACATGATTGCCTTTTACAGTATGTTTTCTTCTATTCTATTTTTCAAGATAAGATATAACCAATATTCCTAACTTTAAGTATTCAAAGGACATTACTGAAATCAACCAGAATAATGTAGGTGTTAATCCTTTGATAGTAAGCATAAAGACTGAAGTTTAAAAATAGATTCAGCTTCAGGATCGGAGGGTTTTGCACCAAATGTTAAAGTAGATCAAAGATATGTAAGCCTCTATTTGTCACATTTGGTAAAGTTCTATGACAGTGAGCATGTGCCTGTAAAGTTAAAATTTTCTAAAACTCAAAATGTATTTCTGATAGCTACTTACCTCATCTCACACAAAGATATCTTAGTCCTTGTTTGCCCTCTAAGTATTGCTCAAAATAGTTTTGCTCCTAGCACACCAGTCTTTATACCCCATCAGTTTTGCATCATTTCTGAACAAGTACTTATCACGTGACTACTCTCCACCAATAGTATTGTGCCATCTACACTGGCACAGCTAGCTCCCTCTGCTATTCCCACTCAATCCTCACTTATGAGAATTGGCAGGTAATAACATGAAAACACCAGCAGTGGGGAGGAAGGATGAGAAGTGTGTGTGACAGGAGGTAAGTACCTATCACAGATACATTTTCAGCATAAGAAAATGTTAACTTCTGAAACAGTCTTACCTCCACTTACACAAAATTAGAATCCCACATTGCAAAGGTGGATGGGCCAGTTTAGGTGTACAAATATCAAACTAAGTGGAAAGCGACTGCTAAGAATGAATGGGTGTGCTATGAGATGCAAATGAAGCACACCAGTGGGATACCGCACAACTTCTGGAACAGGTATGCTCTTCACCAAGGAAACAGGAAAGTAATACAAAATGGGCAGAATGGAAAAAAACAGGCACAGTTGAATGTGGTAACAATACTTACAGCACTGGACAAGTGATGGTAGTGTTGGATGTTCCAAAGAACATGTTTACCATTTTTCACATGATTGGGCCTAATATTGCACTAGTGTGAAAAATGGAATAACATGTGGCTGGGGCATGAGGATCATGTGATCTACACATGAAGATACTAACTGATTAATGAAATTGTCTAAATAAGTTCACATGAGCAAAAACATCCAGAGGAAATGCAAGTAGGTCAGTTGATGACATCAACTGAAGAAGGTAGTTAGTCTATCAAAGTCCACCTGGGCAAAAACATCCAGGGGAAAAGCTTTAAAATTGATTAAGGCATTTCATCTAGTGCAGTCCACCTGGGCAAAACATCCAGGGGAAGTGCATCATAAGTTAAGTTACTGTGTCAAATGTGGTCTACCTGAGGAAACATATACAGGGGAAGTGCCTTGTATAACTGATTAAGTGATTTTGACCAGTGCAGTCCACCTGGACAAACACAATATTACTGAATAAGGTACTTGGTCTAGAAGTAGTTTAACCAGCTGAGTGGATAAACATGAGTATAGGAAAGTAAATATCGAAAACCCACTCAGTAAGAAGCCTCCATGGTCCATTACTCCAGGAACTGGGAGTGGTAAGGACTTTCATGTTTCACTAGAAGTAAAAAAGGAGGGGATTCCGAAGGAACATCACACTGGAACTGTGCAATGGGTGTCTGTAATTCCCTCTTTTGAAAAGCAGACTGACCCCGATATATGCAATCAAAGGGTTGGCAGGGATGGACAAAATCCCATTCCGTATTACTCATGAAGTTCATGAGTGACGGTTCATCATAGATTGAAACTGACTGATATCTAGTACATGTATATGTGTACCACTGGGTAAGTGGCTAGTGGTCTAACAGAAACATCACATCTAAAAAAAATTAGCATTATATAGTTACTCTTAGCTAGTGCAGGTTTGAGGTAAAGCATACCTGACCAGGTAACACCCATTACAAGGAGAGATCCATAAAGATGTTACAATTAGGGAAGATAAAAAAAAGAAAACATAAAAGAAAGGAAGTCATCAGACTTACCCCAATCAAAGACAAATGGATGCATGTAGAATCACGTGGGAGGAAGATGATATCTGCCAGAGGAAGAAACAGCCAGGTTGTGCAGATAATGTGCAATAAAGGTATTGGGAGTAGTCCACATTCCAGACTGAACAATCTCCAAAGGACAGTGAAGGTAAGCACCCAAAGATATTGTAACATGATGATTTGATGCAAGTAAATTTTGTTGAGACAGCAATCTTCCATGGACAAGTCTGAATACACTAGCCTTGAGAAGTTGACAAACCCATCAAGTGAGAGTAACAGATGACAGATCACGGTAAACAGAGGGGTTCCAGGGAATAAACAGTTGGAAACATAACTCCAAAAGGAGGCAGTACGAGCCACATAATACCTCAAGGAATGAACTGGACAAAAAACCTATCCAGAATGGAGCAGGAGTACAACTGGGAAATTTTAGTTGTGTTAATGGTATCCAGAATGACTTGGATCAATTGTAAATCAGACCAAATGACCTTTAATCACACCATGTGTATGGTAATGCATCTGAGCTATAATTTGGATCGCAAATTCAATATAGAATGGAACCCACTAAGTAACATGAAAAAAGGTTCTTGACATTGCAATGAATACATCACTGAAGCCATAAAGGCAGTTGCTCTGTTTTTAGTGATAATGGTAATGGAATTTTAGGGTGTATTTGTAGACATACTGATTTCAACTCAAAAGAGGTAATTATCTCTTAATACAAATTATCAATAGGACCTCACTTGGAGTACTGTCACTTTACCTAAAACAGAATATTCACTTGTAGAATGGGTAAGGATAACATTGGTTATTTCCTCTTGAAGTTTGAAAGATCATCTATGGGTTCAAAAGGATAAGGGCATCTGATGTACTTGTGATATCTGCTGAAGACAACAGGACAAGAAAATGCAAGTTTAAGGCTTGGAAAAGACAGGACAGATTCCAGTGAAGATAATTTTATTTTTCTAACAGAGTGATTGGCTTTGACTTATGGAAATCTAAAATGGCTTAGGAGAAATAGCTGACTGATAATGTTGAAGCTAACAGCAAAGATATTTTTATGAATGTTAAAATGCAAATTAGGCCTTTAAAGGATGCCGAAAACAAGGTTTTGGTTGAATATTATGAGATGGCTAAGCTTTTAAGTGTTTTCTCCAAAAAGAGGATGTCAGCAAAATTCCTAACTGTAAATATTCCACAGATTGACTTAATCGTGTAGATACTAATCCCTAGGTGGCAAAAATAAAAATCAAGAGATTAGAAAAGCAGATAAAACACCAAAAGCAGACAATATTTATCAAATACCATGTACGCAAGCTTCTCTATCTATAATTTTTGGTGGGTCAATAGACAAGTGCCTGAAGATTAGAGAATTGCAATGTTACTCTTATTTCTAAAGGTGATGTTAAGAGTTACCCTTGAAATTATAAACCAGTTATTCTTACTTGTATAGTTGGAAAACTAGAGAAACTGATAAAAGATTTGCATTATCATCTAGTGAAATACAATTTTGAAAAAATTTTAAAGAATGGTATCGATTCATAAATGAGAAATCTTCCCTTACTATTATTTTGTCTTTTTGAGGTTGTGAATGATGGAAAAGGTGTGGTGATGGGGTAATTACATTTCCAAAAACCTTTTTTATATGGTGCTACACAAAATCAGCTTGGAAAATCACAGTAGTATGGTTTGGGAAAAAACTAATAAAATAGATTGTTGGATGAGAGAAAAAATTATTATTAGTAGAGTTATGTAAAACTGGACCCTTGTTACTAGTAATAGAGTGTCTCAAGGGTCTATTGGCCTTTGTTTTTTACTTACATGAATGATATCAAAAGACACATAATTAGTAAATTAGTAAAGTTTGCTGATAGAATTAAAATCTACCAGCTTTAAAGATACTAAGGTACTAAAGATTGAGGTGGACAAACAATTGGCATATTACCTTTAATAGTAGTAAGTGCAAGATACTGCATTTGGATTATCATAATTTCGATCACACATCTCATATAGCATAACTGAAGAAAAGTATCCTGGTATGGTAGTAGATGAGTTACTCCAGCCATCAAGGCAGTGCTTCACTGCTAGTAGCAAGGCTGAGAGAATTTTAGGGTGTATTTATACATACTGAGATTACAAGTCAAAGGAGATAATTATTTTTTTATACAAAGTTAACAGATGCCAAATTTTAAGTGCTTATCCAACAAAAATTAACATTTTCGATAAATTACAGTGGATTTTTGTGGTATTGGTATAGTAATTTATAATGTTTTTTTGTTTTTTTTTGTATTCCAAAATGCTTATATAAAGTCTGCAAAAATTATTATTTTTCCATCTCCACATGTGAATTTGGACGAGGCTTGGCAAGTATGGCTCACGAGTGCAAACAAGGACTTCGTAACATCATAAGTAGTAGATATCATTGTTTTTCAATTATTTTTTATTTAGTGTTTCATGTTTGAAGAAAAATAACTGACATTTCAGTATTTATTTAAAAACATTAGTTATATATATAATGCATGGTAGCCAATATGTTACTGTATTTTAAAAAGTAAGAACTTGTATTATTTTTCTACTCACTTGCATTGAGGTACATTAAAAACAAATTATACAAAACTAAAGACTTGGCAATTCAGGAAAAGTTTATTTGCATAATTTGTGAAAGTCTAAGAAATAAATTTATTACTAATCAACTGAACTTACCACATGAAAATTAACATCTTTACATAAACATCTGGTTAAACTTGCAGTTTGCTGGTGAATAATTTGTTTCTCAAGTTACAATTGAGAAGGCTAAGCCAAGAATACTAGCCTAGCCAAAATGACCTGTATTTATATTACTGGAAACTACACATTTATTGGTTAATGTGTAAGCATGGTAATATAGGAAACAGAATGTCTGTAAGCATTTACACCTATACCAACTCTAAATCCCAACCACCAAGTAAGATAACTAGCAAGTTTATTGGATAGGATACAACTTTATACAGAGTCATATCATAAATATTTTCTCTCACTTTTATGAAGTACTTTAGACAATTCTTGTTGCAACCACTGTATTGTAAAGAAGCCGGCAAATCTATCCCACTTTGTTCAGAGCAGTGATCCGAATAGTTTCTGTAGGATGCTTTCACTTTTTGAGTTAATAGATCAGCCCAGACTTTCTACAATGTCATAAACATTTTATAATACTTTAGACAATTGTTGTTGTAACCATTATACCATCAACAAGTTTATATCCTGTTTTCAAAGCAGGGAAATTCTGGGAATTGTGCCGCATGAACTTGTTTGATATTGATGGTGTCAAAGTACGGTAACATCTAAACAGGAACAGTGATTCATTGCTTTATATTTGCCAGGTTTCTACTTCAGCTGCTAACAGTAGAATAACAACAGGAAATAGGTGTAAAAAGATTAGAAGAAACTCTCAGGAGATTTACTTGGAACTTTACTATCTGTACTGAAAAGAACAGAGTACTATTCATTTTGTTTCTTCTAATTTCTAACTCATCTACTAGTAATAAGATAACTACAGAAAATAAGTGTGAGAAGTTGAGAGCGTAAACTTTGACCATAAGTACTTTGAAATTTTGTAATCATTACTAACAATACTATATGTTTTATTTTGCAAGCTTTATTTTCGTTATACTTTAATTACTTACCAACAACCTTGAGAAATAATATTACAGCATAATATTACAGTACAAAAAATAATATATAAAATATAAAACTACTGAAAAAAAAGTTTTGATATTCAATCATGAGATTTTTTATTGTTCATTTGTTTTAACTGTTTATTATAAAAGTAACTAAAATCATAAAAATAGAAAGTTGTTAGGTAAGATAGTGAAAGAAAAATAATAAAAACCTTCATGGGGTACACATGCCAGAAGCTTCTGCTTTACACTGTTCGATAATGTCATGTCAATGCACATGCACTGTGTAATTTTCAACTTCTATCGGGGTATTTTTTAGTCAGACATAGTTCAAAGATGAATAAAACAAAAATTAATAAATATAAATAGATTTATATTGTTACAAGATTTAAGCTATTTAGAATAAACATTTGTGGTTTCCTATTACAATTTGCAGTTATACTAGAACAAAAAGGGTGATTTAGATTTATTTCCTAATTTGTATGAAGGTTACAAGGTTGGTCAAATCGATCAACACCATATAGAGTTGATATTGATAAAATAACAGGTTAAATATAAAGTTTTATAAAAAAAAGTTTGATGATTATCTAGAAAGATATAGAGATTACACAAATGAAACTTGACAAATTTCAGATAAAGAAAATTACTTTGTATGTTGGATAGTCAACATACTGAAAGAAAGAATTCACCAGCAAATCTTTAATAGAAAAAAATCTTAAAACATAATTCAAAAACCAGATATTTTGTTTATGAAATCCTTGTAATGTTTCCTAATAATCTACAAAATTTTATAAAGACTCGTATACATTTTCAAAAATTATAGTACAATTACTCTCAGAGATACTTTCCAGATTATTGGCTGGGTTGAATCCACCCTGCCCATAATGGAAGGGTTAACTTGATGCTACCTACTCGTATTTCCCTGATTATTATTATTAAATTACTATTTTATCATATTTTGAATTTGTTTATTTCTTTTCTGTGTCCTTTTCTTTTCTAAAATCCAATTTCTATCACTTGAATACTTGTTTTCCATTTTAAGACTGTTTATACAAATGCTTCAACAATGTTTCTTCCAACAATATTTTTTTAATGTGCTCCATGCATGTAATTTACAATCGCTGTATATTCTAACCCTTCAACAATTTTGTCTAAAGCTTTTTCCATGTAGCACGGCATACACTGTCTGACAAAGGGCTTCTACCCAAAACTTTGCAAGTAGTAATCAAAAAGTTTTTGTTATGGATGTGTGTTTAACATTTTTTCATTATTTTTCCACATATTTTGTTTTTTTCTACTGTGTATCAATTCTAGATGTTACTTAAATTTTAACTTGTACTGCATAATGTTTTTTCTGAAGGGGAGTCAATAGCTATCACTGCTGACTTTGAAAATCTTTCCTCACGAACCATCATTCCTCATGCCACCCTTCATCAGACCCAGACATTTGTAGCTGGTGGCAAGTCTCGCTGTCGTCGCTCAAAGTTTACCATCGTCACAGGATTAGCTATCCAGCCAGGTAGAATGGCCAACTGGGATTCTCAGCTCTTAAAAATTCCAGCTGTCTCACCTTCCATCATTAACAGTTGTTTGATTCGAGTTGATTATGCTGTCAGAGTAAGTCTGTTAGTTACTTTGTGTATTGTATGTTTGATGTTAATATCAGACTGATGAAAATTTGACAGTCAAGTCAAATTCCTAGAAAGATTAATTGGAAAGTTAGTGGCTTTAAGCTGCTGCAACTAATGTATTGTATTTCTCCGTTTGTTAA